CTTCCGTTGGAAACGAACTAAATCCCAAAACGGCTAGTGCACCGCAGCTCTCCCAGGTGTAAGCTAGTCCGACAAGGGTGTCCTCTCTGTGAGATAAAGAGAAAACAGAGCCAAAGATAAAACAAGCATAATAGGGACTCAACCCATCATATATTAATATGCACAAAATGTACAGTAGATAGGTACCTGTGCTTGCTTATACTTAACACCAACAGGCCGTTTATATTGCAATAACAGATTATATAATAAGAGCAAGTAGTTAATAAGCAGCATAAGCATGAAATGTGTGATCAAACAACATATTATGTGATAAGCAGCAGAAATAAGAAGCTGCAATAAAGAAATCAGTGCAAAAAAAGCATGATTTAAAGATACACTTACAAGGAGGGCCTAGTGTGATCATAATAGATCTTCTGAAATGTGACAATTACCTTTTACTTTGGATTTCAAAATGTCGTGACAAGATAGTGGTAGTCTTAATCTGAGATTTATAAAACTACATGGAGTAATACGAATAATTAATGCAATACTTATTTAGATGACGTTATTGTTCATGGATAAAATATACCTGATTGATTAGAATAAATGACAAAATGAATGGACAAAGGTAATATTCGAACAGATAGGACGCTTAGTCGTTTGACTTTATCAGATAAGCTATTTCACGTGCGTGTAACAACAGTCTTTAAGTATTTAAATTGATAGTAGTCATAACCAAGTGTATTAATTATCCTAATAGCTGGTAGAAAAATATTCGAAGATACAACCCCAGAAAATATTTGGGTTATTGGTATCACACAAGAGCCATCTGCTCAAGGGTGCTCTGTCACAACATACACGCACGTGCTATTAGTAGATTCATAGGGACTAATAGATGGTTCAAAGAAATTGGATCTGGTGAGTATGAAACAGTATAGTGTCAACTATAAAAACTATTCAAGACATATTCCAGAAATCGTTGCACTCAGACACATTAAGAGTATTTCTATTTATTTAATAGTTCAGAAATCTTGCAAAGTGTGCCGCGAATGATAATCTTCTGATCAAATAGACACTTCAATTATGCATTATGATCTTCACAATATTGCATGACAGTATGTATCAGACTTTCATATAAGCCATCCATTTATACGCGATATTGGTTTTTCCCCTCAATCGAGGTGTTAGCCTTTGCTGCACCGGAGATCTTCTATACTTCAAATTACAGAGAAATCAAACATATTGATATATTCTTTTGGAGTTATTATATGTTTGATGGCTGCTGGTGAACCATTATTAGAATTTGATAGAGATTTAATACTAAGGGACTACGACCAACGATACTTGATCAGCGGCAGAGGCATATAAGAAACTTGCTGAGATAATGTTGTGTGATTCTGACAAGGATTATATTTGTGACTTTGATAAAGAGACAACATTTGGAATAAAACTTATATCATCGTCTCAAGAAGGAAAGTTAATATTATGCTCTTACCTACTGGAAATTTGTCTCAAAAGGGAAAAGTGTTAGAAATTTTTTATTCTATCATAAGTGACAAAGTTGGATAGTTACTGTACTTTAATTTTGAAAATGCTAAGATCTGGTCTGAAGTGCGACTATCTGCATCATATTTGTCCTATGGAAGAAGTACCTCAAGTCGTCTGGGAAAACATGGATCTCTTTATCACACAGAACAGCAGTTCCATAATGAGCAATTGTCCACTGCCTGGGAAGGTGACCGATCCTTTTTCAACTTTGATGGAACGCACATTGACTTTAGACACACCGAGGAATTGGGGAGGATCTTTTCCCTCTTTCCTATCCACACCGCTGCCTACAAACACCAAATATACTACCACGAATATTACTACGTTGTCGAGAGAAAGCATGACAGGAGAGATACGCTATGGAAGATATGAATACCGTAAAACTTCCTTCAAACTCGCATTGAATTTGGCACAACCATAGATGTATGGAGGCCACGAGTGATTTATTTTTAGATTATAGGCGGCAAAATTGGCTTGGCTGAAGGAGAACAATAAGCATTAACATTTAGAGAGTTCATTGGCTTATAATTAAAGTTATAATTAGCGGGGTAATTTATGGGTAGCGTATAATAGCTGATAGGTAACTTATGTAATGATAGGAACCATACTAATACCTGATGAGATAATCACCATGTGAAATTTGTATGTATATTCCAATTTCCTAAATGTATTTAATAATCACAGCTTCTACAATTTACGTCAGATGCGCGCTATGTTGGATATAAGAAATTAGCAAAAATGTATAAAGCTAACAATAATTGAAACAGTGCCGCGAGAGTACTCGCGCTTAACCATTGGAATATTTGCTTGTTCGATGTATTGTATACGAATACAAAGCGCATTGATGCGTCTATCTCGTTGTAATCTTTGACCGATATTCTTCCAAAATTACAGATGTTGGGATGATGCAAACGGAACAAAGAATTTAAATTAACGTACAGTAGCGGACATAAGTATCCGAACGGTTGTATTACCTAAACGTACATAATAATAACTCCTTAAATTTTTCAGGAAAAAGTTTTATGACAATGCCTGATTACACATGAAATTTCAGCTCGAGCGGGTGTCTCCAGCAAATTTTTCAA